GGCATTGCATGATGTCAAACGACAGAGCTCCGAAGATGTTGGCCCAAACCTTCCACCACCACCGACGCCCTCAGTGGCAGTTGATCCAAGTCCCTTACCGACAGTGCCTGAACAACACGCAGTGCAAGATGATTTGCCACCTGTTGCCCCAACAGAGTTGTTTCAAGCCCTGGATGGAGGAGGACTGGGTGTTTTAGGAGGAGGGAGTCACTTTGGGAGCGAGCTTCCAGGCAGTGGCAGTTTGAGCAGAAGAGCATCTTCCATGGCAGCTTCCAGTCGCTGTCCCTCGCGACAAATGAGTCATGCTGCACCTGGCACGCCTGTGCCCCAGTTGATCACAGGTGCCAGTCAAGCATCGCCGGTCACTCCACCGTTGAGTTCCCGCTTGTCAGCTTCGTTGGATGCTGCTAGAGAGCTTGACGAGCAGACGGGAGTGAAGAGGCCTTCGGAGGTTGAGTCAGAGCAGCCCCAAAAGATGCTGCGTGAAGATGAAGAGCATTCAGTGTTGGTGGCCACCTCAGTGATTCAGAATGTGCTCAAGACCAAGCGGGCACTTGTTTCCAGGTATGCCAAAGACACTGCAAATCAGTCCGTTCCAGATGTTGAGCAAGCGCCAAAGCAAGATGAGATTTTAGAAAATATTCTCAAGAATGCCACCATGCATCCCTTGAGAGCGATACAACTGCAAGTGGAGAAAGATAAGAAAGCAGATGGCAACCTTGCAGTTCAAGACCATGGCAGCTGGTCAGGCAAGTGGCCTTTGCCTACCCGCGCATCGTGGGAGGCGCATGAGATCAGTTGCGCTCTTTGGCCTTGTGGAGAACACGAAGTCAATGCAGCCAAGACAGCTCGTCGTGAAGTGAAATGGAAGGACATCCCCACGCATGAGCGAGCTGAATACCGGAAAGCAGCTGAAACCGGTTGGAAAGTTCAGGTTGACAATGGTGCTTTTGAGATTCTTTCAGATGAGGAGTCCGAGCGCATCAAGGCAAAGCTGAGAGCATCCGGTCAGTTGCACAAGATCCTCACACCTCGGTACATCTATACCGACAAGCACGACGGTCTCAGGTCAGACAGCAACCCGTTGCCCTTGTTGGCCAACGCACGTGTGGTCATTCCAGGGTACAAAGATGAGACTGCATACAGTGTCCGCAAAGACGCACCCACAAGTTCTCGCAGTTCGCAACACATGTTGTTCATTGTTGCAGCAGCTCGCAAGTGGTGTTTGTGGTCTGCTGATGTGAAGTCCGCCTTTTTGAAAGGCGAATATTTCCAAGAAGGTGAGCGTGAGCTGTACATTTGCAACATTCGTTGCACCTCTGCTGACGAGCCGATGCTTCCTTTCAGTGCTGGCGGCTTAGCCCGTGTGCGAAAAGGAGTTTTTGGATTAGCAGACAGCCCGAGACGATGGTATCTCCGGTTGAACAAGTCACTTCTTCGCTTGGGATGGCGTCGCAGTGACATGGATGCAGCTCAGTGGTTCCTTTATGGAGCCGATGGCTCCCTACAAGGCATTGTGGTCAGCCACGTCGACGACCTCTTGATGGGAGGAACAGACCTAGCTGGCAAGTCCCTCAGAGCCCTAGGTGATGAGCTTGGGTTCGGATCGCTGGAGACAGGTTGTTTCACGTATTGCGGCAAACAAATCAAGCAGAATGCTGACATGACCATTGAGGTCAGTATGCAGCATTGCTGTCCCTGTTCACCGCAAGACTGTCCCTGTTCACCGCAAGAAGCAACTTGAAGCAGCGCTCACACCTGCCGAGCATCGCCAGTTGAGAGCCATACTGGGAAGCTTACAGTGGTTGGCGGCTCAAGTGAGGTGGGACATGGGATTTCACCTCAGTGTGTTGCAAGGCGAACCTCCAGTTGTCAAGACATTGCTCAAAGCGAATGCCCTGGCCCGTTTGATGAAACAGGATGCTGGATTCAAGCTTCGCTTTGGTCAGATGGACCTACAAGGTGCTGGCATTTTGGTGGTGACAGACGCTTCATTAGGCAATGTCACGAGAGCCGGCGGAGCGGATGGTACATTGTACACCAAGGTGTTCAGTCAGGCCGCTTACCTTGTGTTGGTTGCAGACCGCAACCTCATGAGTGGCAAGCAAGGACGATTCGGAGTGTTGGATGCCCGCAGTCACAGACTCACAAGGGTGTGCCGCTCGACATACGGCGCCGAATTGTTGGGATCAGAGGAATCTCTGGACATTGTGCTCTTCTCCGAGGATTGCTTGCTGAGGTTCAAGGCTTTAGCGTCTTGAAGGGGGACGAGCAGCTCAGTACAACAGCTCCATTCCTTTGGGGCTGGTCACAGATGCAAAAGATGTGTACGACAAGAACACATCAGATACGCCAACCTACGGAAGCCAGAAATCATTGGCATTTACAGTGGCTTGGACGCGTGAAGTCAGTCCTTCGCAAAGACAAAACGCAGATCCACTGGACTTCGACCGAAAATATGCTGATAGATTGCGGTACAAAAGAGATGAAGTCAGACCATCTCAAAGCAGTGCTGCACCAAGGCACACGGAGCATTACATACAACCCTCGTTTGAAGGCTGCTGCTCCAAAGGGACTTTCTCTCCCCGGTCGACTCCTGAGCGCTGATGACCCCATGTTGAGCCATTTGATGCGGCTCGCTGAGAGACCCGGCTGGCACTTTCAAGACCCACACGGAATCCACGTGTGTAGGAACGCAAGATCCTTTCGCGGTCCGGCTCCGAGATTCAATGCTGAATCATTTCCCTCCGAACGACATATGCTCGATTCGACCCCGACCACCAAGCTGAGTGGAGAATCTTGGAGAAGGATGTGAGAGGTGGCAGGTTGGACATGATCGGCGAGACCGCCGATGTCCTGGTGACGCTTTTCGGGCCAGATCCAAACCCCAAAATCAACAAAGAAATGGATCAACTGAAGAAGATTGCTTGAGTTTGGGTTTGTTCCGGATTGTGTTTCGCCCGCGGCCTTTTTACCTTACAGGCCTTAAACCATTTGATGTCGCTACGCATTTTGAGCGGAAAGAGTGCCTTTTGAGCTTTCACATATGTCGATATGTTACATCCGATTCTACCCCAGCGTGCTGCGTGCTTTTGAAGTAGAGGAGAAAGCCATGACCAAGATGCGGAACATAATCTAGGACGATCTTCGTAGCATTTTGATAAGACTTTTTGTGCCATAATGCTGCAGGAGTTGATTGGAATGACATCAGCAAGCCGCTTATGGACCATATCTCTCCGTGGTTTGGATATTTGTTTGTTGGCTTTGTCGCATATTGCGTATTAGCACTGCTCAATGTGATTACTGGAACTTTTGTTGAGGCTGTTTCGCGGCAAGCGGATCACTTGAAGGTTCGCATGCAGATACTCCAAGCTCGAAAGGTTTTTCAACAGATGGACATGGATGGCTCAGGCAGCATTTCACTGCAAGAACTGCGAAATCAAACCCTGACCCCCACGATCCTGGATTTCTTTGATTATGTCAATGTTGATCCTTCCGAAGCGCAGTATTTGTTGGAGGTTTTGGATGGAGATGGAAGTGGAACGATAGCTTTCGAAGAGTTTCTTCAAGGAACTTTGAGGTTGAATTGTTCAGCCCGAGCGGCCGACATGCTGCTGGTCGTGAGAGAGATCAAACGTTTTTTTGTTCATTACAATGCAGAGATGCAGCTCATTAAGCGGCATCTTCACATCATCAAATGATCTTGGGACACCTTGACATCAATTCTCAGTGCAACTGCACCGCAGTCCAGAACTGTGGTGTAAGAGGGTTTGGGATGCCTAATCCCTTCTCGTTGCGGGCAACATTTGTCCCGCTGTGATTTTGCAACTGCCAAGTGTCAGTATCGTTGCCAAAGGCATGATGTGCTTTGATGCGTAAGACGGGCTTAATAATGCAACAAAACGTCCACATTCTTTCTCATTAATGTTCGGCGTGTGGCAAGTATTCAAAGCTTCTGAGAAGCTTACTGCAACCACGAAACACCTGCAAATAAGGTAAAGCAAAAGGGTGGTACAAGTCTTGTTTGCGCTTGATTCCTTAACTCCTTGAACGAACTAAGGGCTTTGATTGGTTTCACTCCTGGCGCCCTGAGCTTATTCTTTGCATGATGCTTCAGATGCAATAGGCCTCAATAGGCTGAACGGAAGGGCCTCAATAGGCTGAAGAGAATAAAACGATACGCAGAGAAATCGTTGGTCTGTGTTTTCGAAGAATGAGGAACGCCGCCGTTGTTTTCTCGATGACACCGTTGTTGCCGTGGCGTTCGTTCGGCCGTGAGGGAGAAACCCCATTGGCCCCATGCTTGAGGCCCCAACTAGGGACCGGAAGCGAAACGAATGCCCTTAGCTACTAGTAGCTTCTTGTTACCAGAGGAGCGATGCACTTGTTACTGGTAAGCAAAAGGTGCATGGCGTTTCCATGGCGGCCCCCGTTTCCATGGCGTTCCGCGTTTCGGTATGCGTTCGATCTCTAAGGTTGACCTGGGCTTTGGACATAGCACTCCTTGCACCGACTGAGTCGGTTTTTCAATCGAGGAACGAAAATTGCCTAGATCAGATCTGTTTTGGCATGGTCCAGGGGCGAAACCCCTGGGCCTTGATCAGAGCGCAGCCAAGTCGAAAAAACCACAGTTTTGCCATTTTCCATCGGAGATTTGTTGCCAATGTGCACTGAAACGACAATTCTTCACAACATCAATGTCCTTTGGAATGATTTAGAACTGACATGACACGGAGCCTGTGGAACTACTGCTGCATGACTCAGTATGACATTAAACTGCATCGAATCACCAAGAAGAAAAGTTCCAAAAGCTTCCAGCAATGGCAGCTGTCAGACAAAGCGTATCCACATGGGGACTTGAAGCAAAATATGAATCCCAAACGAACCAGACAACCTGGAAGTATAACTCACCCTCGAAGTATAGCTATTCTCCACTGAAGCCCTTCTCAAAGTAGACGAACTCATTTCCTTCTTGCGCTCTTTAAGCTCCACCGTTCCTTGTTTTCCACGTTCCATGACACCACGGCATATGTAGCCTTCTTGCGGAATGATGGCATGTGCGCATGCTGGCGTGCCAAGGAGACTTCCTTTCCTTTTTTTTGTTAACTCTCTTTTCTTCGGTTTGTATTTCAAAAAGACCAATGCCCAACATTCAGCGGAATGGAGTGGCATTGGTCCAATGCCATTCCATTCCGCTGAATGTTGGGATCACCTTCACTGTGGACAACATTGGAAGTATAGGTGGCGGAGATAAAGGAACTCAAGTTGGTTGACCAAGGGAAGGCCAGTGATGTATTACAAAGAAGAAACAACGATGCTCAATTCTACAAACGGGAGCAGAAGATTTACGATTGAAAAGAAAGGCGTAGAAGACCACTTAACGACAGTCTCATACAGTATCCATTTTTGAGCTCAAGCTCATGCGAAGATCGCACATGTGCCGGAGGAAACAGGAACTCCAGTATCCCAACTGCTTACAAGAAGCTACTAGTAGCAAAGGGCATCGCTACGAACGGAGCAAGGACGCTACTAGGGGCTCCTGGCCTTACTACTAGGAACAAGAAGCTATTAGAAACAATAAATGGAATTTAATTAGAAGCAAAGAAGGCTACTGGAACCTTCAGATCTCCAGAGTTCTGGTGTCAGTCGCCTTCGCATCCACAGCTCGAGTTTGGAGGTCTCCGAGGCGAAAAGCTTGTGTCGAACGAGTCGAAAAGGGCCTCATGTGGCCTTGGGGTGTCCTGGTCTTTGGCTTGTGCATGTCCCCAATCATCATGTTTGATGGTTTTTTGGCTTCGTAATGTCCAAGTTCCGTCATCTCAATTCTGCTTCTGTCACCCATGCTCACCTTCATTGCTAGTTCCATTTTTCCAAGCTATGGTACTATGACGCCACCATTGTCCTGTGCATATTCCAGCCCCAAGCATGCCCAAATTCTTCCGTCTCAAATCCACCTCACAATAGACTTGTCCTGGCTGGCGGGCTGGCGGATCCTCGCAATAGATTGGGTGGATGGGTGGAGGATTCTCTGGATTCACAGTTGCAGGACCAAATTGGCCTCGAGCACTGCGCATCGTGCAGCACTCATTGTAAGGATCTGCTGCGCTGGTTTCAGTGGTGCAACGATACCAGATTCTCGGAGAACGATACCGCAAGAGGTGCTGGGGCGCAGCTGTTGCCGAGGCCAGTGAAACACAGTTTGTTCTGATTCGCCTCACCGAATAGATTTATGTATTGACCTCAATTATTTGCTTTGCAGGATGGATTGGCACTCTTCGACACTTCTCGTGGCAGGCAACCTTTGCTGAGCAAAAGGAGATGCAAAGTCGTCAATGTCAATGTAGCTAATGCGATATCAACATGTATATAGCCTGTGAATCAGCATGGACTCATCAGAGCAATGACAACTCACAACCATTTCTTGGAAGGCTCCCAAAGTGGATTGCTATGCACTTCTCGGTTGGTTCCTTAAACGGCTTTTTGCTATCTTTTGTTGCCAAGCTAACCGGAATTTGATGTCAGGCGTCTCAGAGTCAGCCAGCTTGGAAGATATCCGTAAATCATATTTGCAGCGCAAGGGCTCTCAGCACTAGATCCTTGTACCACACAAAGCGTTTTGAAGAACACAATGCTGCTCACACTTAGCAGCTTGGAGTTGGAATTGAGGAGCAAAAAAACTCTCATCCAGATGTTGCCGGTTCAGGCGACAAGCTGCATTCAAGGGTGTCACTGTACTGAAGGATACTGTAGGTGGCAATGTTTTCCACTGCAACTTTTTGTAATGTTCAAGTGTTCCATGTGTTTACTGGCTGAATGAATCATGTTCTTTAGATCTTTTGATTCGCTTGTGACCACTAAGTTACGGCTGCTTAGAACAAGAGCACTTGACAAAAACTTCACACACAAAAGAGCTGTAGGAAGTCAGAGTCGGAACCAGTCGTTGTCGCCACAAAAAATTGTCTTTCACTTTTGCGTCAGGCAACGAGATGGTTCAGCTGAACCTGTGCCGACAGCTGAGCTGCTGCAGCTGAAATATAAGCATTTGACAGCAGCAACAGCAACTTGCTGTTGTGACGCCCCCGTCTTCGAGTGCACCAGGCTACGAAGCCTTGACGCAAAAGCGCAAAGAGTATGACGCTGCCAAAGGTGTTGCAGGCGTGTGGGTTCGTGCACAAGTGATGTGTCACTGTCAACAAGTGTTTGGCGCAAAAGAAGGGCGCGTGCATTTCACCTTGTTTTGCTTCACAGGAAAAAGAACAACATCTAGTTTCGGCACAAATACTCGAGAAGCTTGGTGGTCAAAGCCTTGGCCTTTTTCCATCGGGCAAGACCACGCTAAACGTTGCTAAGCTCTGTTTCAAGGCGCGCACAGGGAGGCTTTGACGATTTTCAGGACAGCAAAGTCTCGGTTTGAAAGACACTGCGAGAACAGTACCAGAGCCTCTGACTCACTAACATGGAAGTGGAAAACTACGTATTTGTAGAGGAAAATGATCTTCCCAGTGGCCATTTTCCATCTCCATGAGTCGGAGTGTACGTTCTGAAGCTTGCTTTGTCTCAAAGCGAAGTGCACTAGTCTTTTGGTCAGGGCCTGTTCTTTTTGTGCTTGTATTGTATCGTTCTAGTTCTTCCACACGCCTTTCTTGTTTTGGCCAGCAGTACCGGTATCCTTGCAAATGAGATCCAATCAGTATAATTGTAATGTACAACTTGTGTATTTCAACTGCGCAGTTGAAGAACATGTGTATACTGTACCAGTTCCTTCTCTTGCATCAAATCCATGTTCAGACTTTTTTGAGAGTACCGATGTCTATGAAAAGGACGACTACTATCCGTTTCACTTTGAAGAGTTTGCAGAACGAAGGTGGCGTGTGAGCCTGAAAGGGAGACTGATTCTGGATGACTCTTAGAGATATCGGTCGCTCACGGGTTCGCACCAAATTGGTCTTTCGTTTTGCACCAGGACAGTCCCTGACTGAGGTCCAAAGAAACAAGCTCCCGAGCGTGAGCCCCGTGAGCAGCGTGGCGGGCTCAAAGTGATCGATGTGGTCGGGCTGAGCGGAGAAGACTCATCAAAACACAGTACATCGTTTAGAGTATCCTCTTAATTGTTCTGTGAAGAAAGGTCAAGCAGATTAGCAAAGTCGATTTATTTTACATGTCTTGCGCAAGGGGAGGAAAGGGGAGATGAGGCAACCCCAAAATCGTCCTCTTAGAGTTCAACCACAAGCTGTGCTGGGTGCACTCTGAATGTTGTGCGCAAGGCCGCCCCACATGGGAAGAGTTTGCTGAGATGTGGGACGAAAATGTGGCCTTCTGAGAGTGAGCGCTGCAGGCCAGTTTTGTAGTGACTGACGCCAACCGAAACGACCCATACTTTAACAAGAGAAAGCCTGTTTTGTAATCGGCCTGGCACAAGCATCCAACTATAGGAATCGTTGGGGTCACAGAACTTCTTGCAGAGGGGATATTCCAAACGATGGTTCTGCACAGCACACAGGTCTCACTCATGAAATGCTGACAGGGGTAGATCAAGACCCAAGATACAAGGTAAGGTTGTCCTCAAGCTCGTCCAGGTTCTTTTTGCTTGTGCCGACTGAGGAGTTCCAAGCCCAAGATGTGCGAGGTGCGACCGGCTCTGGCTTGACAACTGGTCCGAGCGGTGCGATTATGCCAGTTATCCAGCAAAGTTACACCGGTACACAACGGGTGGTGCCTTTGATTGGAGTTTATCGTTCATAAATTGAAAAGGGATCGCTCCTCCCACCTGCAACATAGGAGCACAGCCAACGTGAATATCCCCACAATATTGAGGTACAGACAACTGCTACTGAACACCCACGGAAAGAATGTGAGTGTTTGTCAAACTGGAGTCAAGTGCTGCAGTTCAGTGCCTGATCAGATCCGTCCCTTCCTCTAAGTTCCCTCACCTGATAGATGAGAAAGCTGCTTCTCAAATCAGGTCGGCGGAATCGCAAGCGCTACAGGAGAGGGAAGCCTGGTGCTGAGTTGTTGGGGACAGTGGCCCCTTGCTGCGGTGCTGCCCTGTTACGAATGGCTTTCACAGATGGTGGAGCTTGGGGTGGGATCATTGCAGATTTGCGAAGTAGTCACTGTTTATCACCAACGGAAGATTGAGTGAGACCACACATGCAATGGTTTTGTTTCAAACGTGCAGCTTTCGGGTCAAACGCGCCTCACGAAACTTTATCATATGCAAAAAAACATATCAAAAAAGTAATTTTCTCGAGGTATGCAATGTACGAAGAGAGCAGTGATGAGGACGATGTAGCAAAGGTCAAGCTTGCACCGCTTTATTGTGTGGACCCATCAGGACGAGTGGACCCCACCACCGCGGGCTCGAGGGCGCGATGCTCAACTCTCCTCAAGTTGTGATGTTCAACGGTTGGTCCAACCCCAAGGCGCAAACAGCGAGAATCCTTTCACCAGGCTTGGGCCCTGGAAAGCCTCCGCGAGAATGTGAATTTTCTGTTCCGCTGTTTTCACATCTTTTGAAGTTCCTGACTGCAGTCAGCAGGAGGCGCCAAATGCTTCCAGCCAGTGTCTCGGAGCTTTTGGAGCTGTTCAAGGGAGCGAGCAATTCTGACTCTGTCAAGCAATCTTCAAGGTGAAGAGGTGCCGGAGGAGATGTGGGCCATACGCTCAGATGGAATTGACAAATCAGACAAGTCACATGATGTGATCTTGTGTGCAGACTCGTGCGGAAAAGAACCATTCCCACTTTGTCCACTTTCTTTGATTTTTGCCAGTCTTGCTACGTGACTGCAGGTAGAGATCTCTGGCCGGAACTCGTTGGAAGCCCCAGCATGTGGCTTTGGGTTTGAGGCTGTGTGCTGCAGCGACGAATCTGAGGCACTGGGCATCCATCGGTGGCTCGTTTGCAAAGTTTGGAGCCTCAGTTTGCAGACCTGGAGGTGCTGCGCTTTTTGGAGATGGATGGGATGGTGACCAATCTGCCGCGGGAAATAGTCCATGTGTGATATGTTATTTTTTGGTCGTGATGAATTGACCTTCTGGCCTTTGTTCCAGTTCCAGCAAGTTCCAGTCCAGGACCAGATATTTGAGCGCTTCACAATTGACCAATTGATATGTCGTATTTTAACGGAGTAAACTGCCAGCCAACAGGCTAAGATCAGGAGTGAATAAATTGCTGATCTGCACAATCCTGATTGATGAGTTGATGGGTCTTGGTATCCCTGCTTTGCCGCAAGCTTTGGTTCTCGAAGTGGGTTAAGTTTCTTGCTAATCAGTGCTGCACTGAATTGTGCCTCCAGATGGAAGGGGCTGGCAGTCACTACTCGGTCCTTGGCTTGTCACACGAAGCATCTCTGGAAGAGATCCGAAAGGCACATCGATCTCTGGCTTTGAAATGGCATCCAGACAAGGCAGAACTTTGCTTGTCAAAGAACCGATCCAAACTGCAACCCCAAACCTCGTTATTTGCAACTACGCTGTTGTCATTGTTGTTCTTGTTCCCAAGCAGCATAGTGGAAAGGGAAGATTGGAAGATCCATGAAATCCTCACCTTGCAAAATCTGATTCTGGCTCGGGGCAAGGGTCGAGCTTAGCTGCCCTGTTGTAGACGAAAGACTTCTTGTGTCAGACATCATCCTGGCAACCCCAAAAAGCCATGAACTTGTGGCATTTTGGGACACTTCACGCTCGAAGCTTCGAACCGCTCGCCGCGAAGGTGGCCGACCCCAATGACCAGATTGCGGTCCGTGTTGCAACACAGCAGTTTCAGCTGGTCCAAGCTGCATATGAGATTCTATCAGATGCGCAACAGCGCAAGAAGTATGATGAGCAGCTCGGGCTCCATTTGCTTCAGGGTCAGAAGCGTGCGAAATCAGCCGGTGTCGGTGTTTCTGCCAGCTGGGCTCACAGTGATGCAGTGTCCCTGCGGGTGCCTGAGGATGTTACCACGATTGCTGCTGCTGTGGACCGGCTATCAGTGACGGGCGGTGTGATTGAGGTCAGTTCAGGCACTTTCGATGGCTTAATTGTCGTGTCCAAGCCCATGGTCAAGATCATTTGCACAGGTCAGGCGATCATCCGAGGTCAAGTGGTTTTTCGCGAATGTGCCACTGGTGCGCAGATCAAGAACTTTCGTATCCAAGCTTCCAGCAATGGGGGGGCTATAGATTTGAAGAGTGTGCGTGGTGATATCTCTATAGAGGACTGCAACATTAGCAACGACCTCTCTGCTGGCCTTGTTTTGGAGGGTTGTTCAGGTCATATTCATATCTCAGGCTGTGTCATTCACGATTGCAAGTTTGATGGCTTGGGACTCCACTTGCTACAAGGTGACAGCTCAAGCAAGGGTAGTGTGACGATCGAAACGTCCACCATCTCAAAAAATGGCTATGATGGCCTATATTTGGGAGACCCGCGTTTTGCCGTTGTGCTGCGCAACAGTCAGGTGCGCCAGAATCAAAGGTATGGTGTCTTAGTGCGCGGCACAGAATTTTGCATGGAGGGCAGCACTGTTGAGGAGAATGGTGAAGACTCTGTAAGAAGAGAGGACTTTGTGTACAAGCAGAATCCCAGAGGAACACAGAAGGCCGGGAAGGCTAGAGAGGTGGTGGCAGATCTGCCTGAAGGATGGCGTGCGTTTCGAAACACCGAGGGCTTGGTCTATTACTACCACCTTCAGACAGGCACGACCAGATGGTCCGTGCCCGGTGATGAAGTCTCTGAAAAGCCTTCGTTGGAGCAGAAGGCATCAAGCGACACCAAAAAACGCAACAGATGGAGCTGAGAAGTGGAGCACGGAGACGGAGAGAAGCACATCATTTTGCAAATTTCTGTGGAGAAGTGGAAGTGCAGATTCTGGGGTCGAGAGTTCCAGTGCTTGCAGATGGTGAGGCTGTCGATCTTTTTCTGGGGCAGATCTGCGAACTCCATAGGTGAAGATTGCAGCTTCTCCTCCTCATCCTCCAGCTCTAGGTCAGATCCACAGGCTAAGAGTCTGCTGACGCCTCTAAGATTCTGCGATGTCGGAACCCTTCGCATGAGTGAGTGTTGGGCAGAAGCTGCGCTGATAGTCATTGACATTGACCTACTTGGGCAGGTTCACCAGTCCGAAAAAATGAACTCAACCAAGAATTTCACGGTAAAGCAAAAAAACAACTAGAATAGACCTTTGCAGATTCGTGATGAGGCTAGAAAAAGCTTTCAACGGCCGGCCGGCATGGATCTCAAAATGTGTCAAGTCTCTTATTCATTGTCGTGAACTGGAAATCTGGATATACTGGATACGCACTGTCAATAGACTTGAAATGACCTGAAGCTCGGGATGATCTCAGTAGACGGTTCAGGCAATCACGGTCGGTGCTTGACCATGGGTGAGTCAAACTTGAGGCTTTTGAAAGGATGGGCGAGCCAAGCCTCTTCATGTTCTGGAGCCAACAGCCTTTGCCTTACCTCACAGTGCTGTGAGATGCTCTGCGTAGCACCTCACGGGTTGCCTTTACGGTCCAATATGGTCAACCAATGCCAGCCCGGCTTCGCTGTCCCCTCCTTGCCTTCCCTTTTTCTTGAAGTGCACATGGGCCACTTAGATTTGGTGACTGGAAGATTGCGGAGCGCCTGCAAGATGACGGTGCTTGCAAAGAGCCAAGTAGAAACAAAAGAGCCAACTTGAAGCTTTGCATTTGGTTCAGCATCACCAGCCAATTCCTGCGCCTCAGGTGTTGGCTTTGCTGAAGACATGAAAGGCCGAAGGAGGCCAGAACTCATGTGCCACACCACCGAAGGGCATGCAGTCCGACATCGCTGATACATCACTGATACGCCCTTGTGAATTTGTAGTACAGTGGCACACTTTTCTACGCCTAAAATGGTGCCGGGATAGGTTGGAAACGCATCCCAGGCCATGGCTCCAGCATCCCACCCTTCGGTGGCGTTTATGGGACCCAACGGCAAGACGGTTTGTACCGCGGCGTGTCCTGTCTTAATGGCGGCCAACGACTGGGGTCATGGTGTTTCCTTGAATCTCATACTGCCATATGATGCCCTTGTTACTAGTAGCTTCTTGCTACTAATAGCGAAGCCCTTGCTACTAACAACCCTTTCTACTAATGAAATCAGTGGATATGGATTTTGCTGTTTTGACATGTGGCTCTGGGCTGACTTGCCCCAAACGTATGTTGTTCGTTGTGAGGGAACTGAGTCTTTCAAGAAGTATTTCACAACTTGAACGCACCGCCAACACGGCTTACCAAGCCTTTGAAGTGTTGAGGTTGCCCCAGCAATGCTAAGGTCTAAACATCGATGCTTGCGCAGATGAACCCCCAGGTGTGGCACAGGTGAAACGTGTTGGCGAAGACCAAACCATACTGAACCTGTCAATGTTGCGAATGCACATGTGAGATTTGTTTTCCATTTTGCAATGCATTTCATGATGAGAGCGGATAGATGACATTCGAGTCACACCGCAATCGAATTTCAATTCTCAAATCCGGCCGAAGGGCCCTTGAGTCACCAGCGGCGACGACCTTCGCCATTCGTTTGGCATTGAAGAAAGGACGCATCGCGGCCTTCGAATTCTTTTTCTTTGGTTGCTTGGAACTTCGTGAGTTCAAGTACTTCGAGATTGGTAGCGGAGCCCAAGACGATCCTCCCGGAATTTGACCAGGGTGAACTTTTTGTTTGAAGACGCCTATAGGGTAATCCTGGCCGGTGAGAATTGGCTCATCTTAAAGATCACGTTCAGCAAGGCAGTCACAAATGAGTGGTCAGCAAAGAAGACAGCGAGATAGACCAGAAGGTGAACAACCAGTTGATGTCCCCATACCTCCTTCTCCTCCACGTGCAGCGAATGGAGCTAGTCCAGGAACTCCTTCCTCTGGATCCAACAACTATCGTGGATTGGATAGTGGCTTGGCAAAGGCCGCACCATCGGCCGAGGGGCTAACGCAAAGTGGCTATCGCAGCTACAGAAGACGATTGGAATTGTATGCCCTGCAGTGTCGTCGACGCTCAACGGATGCTGAGATTGAAGGTGCTCTTTTGGTCATCAGCCTCCTCAAGGACACTGTTTGGGATGCAGCAGAACAAATAGATTTGAAAGAAATCACAAGTGGAACAAATCCGTTCGCACCTTTGTTCACCATGATGGACCAGCTATTTCAATATGAAGAACAAATTGAAGTTCCATATCGGTGCGAAGAGTTCTTTCAAAGCTTCAATCGTCAGAAGGGAGAAGAAATGCAGGCATACCTCATTCGCCACCGCACTGCTTTGAAGAAACTTCGAGAGGTCAAGATCGACATTCCACCACTTCTTGCTGGATGGCACTTGTTGACCCGAAGTGGAACTCCAAAATGGACACACGTGCAAGTGAAAGCATTGTGCAAAGGCGAGCTTGACTATGAAGAGGTCCAACGAGCTTTGCTTCGAATGTTTGGTGGAGATCACAAACCAAACACCAAGGACATTGGACCTGTTGCCAAGTCATCCAAAGACGAGTTCTTCTATGAGGAAGACTTTGATGAGGAGTTCTACTACGAAGGAGAAGAAGAAGATGATTGGCATGAAATCTACTATGAAGGTGATGAAGATGAAGAAGAAATCCCTGAGGAGCTTGAAGAAGCATACGAAAACATGGATGAAGCTTACATCTCCTACTTGGAATCAAGGAAAAGAATGAAGGAACTTGCCTTGGCTCGTGGCTTCTACCCCGTCGTAGCCATTGGTCCTGACTTCGACCATGGCAAAGGAGGCAAAAGCGAAAGAAAGGGAAGCTCAAAGGGCAAAGGAAAGAGTAAAGGAAAAGGAAAGGGAAAAGGTAAAGGAAAAAGCATGTTTCCTCGACGCCCAATGCATGGTCTTCGAAAGCCACCATCATCGTCGACCACTACCTCCTCCGAGTTGAGATCAACCCTGACCGGTTCCAATTCTTCTCATGGACCGAGGTTCAAACGATATCGAGTGCAAGCACAAGGTGTCAAAGAAGTTGGAGGTGAAGAGGTGACCATGGTGGAGGAACTAGCGGAAGAGTGCTTTCAAGAGGACATCTTCTTTGCCACCCTTGCTCCTGGTCATGCAATTGTGGATTCAGGTGCAACAAGAACACTGGTCGGAGAAGAAGTGTGGAAAGAATGGGTCGAGCACTATGATGAAGGCCTACTTGGACCTCTCCGTACTCAGGCACAAAAGCGATCCTTCAAGTTCGGCGGCGGAGAGATGCTTGAATCCAACTACGAAATCTCCTTCAACGCCTTGGTGAAAGGTCAAAAGCTGCCCATCACGGTTTCAGTGGTACCTGGGCACACTCCCTTCCTGTTGGCGAGACCAATGCTGGAACAATGGGGGGTGAAACAAGACTACGCCAGTGGCAACATGAAGGTGGCTCAATCCGAATGGTTTCAACCAAGTCGTGGACAAAAAGGCCACTATGTCTTGAACTTGTTGGAATATCATGAAGACGAACAAGAGATGAACTACATCATGGAAGAAGAGGTTTTGATCACGACAAGTCCACTGGAAATTGAACCGCCCTGTGAGACAGAACCGTCTGACATTGCAGAGCAGATCCTCATGGAGTCCGAAGCAAATGAAGTCGAAGAGATTTCTCAACAAGTTTTGCAGCGCCTTCAACAAGAAAGAAAATTGATCTTCTTTGAGGTCTATGTGGATGAAGGCAACCTGGCTACAGAACTGTTGAAACGCTTTCCAGACTGTGAGGTCGCTACTTTCAGCCTACCTCATTGGGACTTTGAAAAAGAAAATGACCGAAAAGCATTCCTCAAGTTGGTGAGAGAACAAAAGCCTCACTTCATCTGGTGTGCACCACCGTGTACGAAATGGTCACCAACGCAAAGGCTCAACATGATCAAGGCCGAAAAGCTAGCCTACATCCTGGAATTGCAAAAGCAAGAAGAAAAGCAACATTTGAAACTGGTTTTGGATGTCACCGACATCTGCAACTGGGAGATCAATGCCGGCATGGCCATGGAGCATCCTCATTTGGCTATGTCATGGAAGACGAAAACCCTGGAGTCCATGGATGGTTATGATGCAATCTGCAACCGATGCAGGACCGGTTTGTGCTACTATGATCGCATGGGAAACTATGTCGGAAAGGTCAAGAAACCTACGAGGATTCGCACAAACAGCCAAATGGTCTTTGAAGCACTGGATCTTCCATGTGAATGTCTTCCTGGAGAGCATGTTGCTATGGATGGAAAAGCAGAAAGCTTGAAGAAAATGCAAAACTACGAAAGAGGCTTCGTGAAAAGAGCAGCAAATGCCATCTATCAGGAGATGGAAGAACGATGGCGACAAAGAGAGATAGCCAAGATCTATATGGTTGAAGAGCAGGATGAGAAAAATAAAGTGAAGAATGCATCCAACATCACTGAAGAAGAGAAGAAGCTGATGAAGACCCACAGCAAGCAAAACCTACAGGTCATCAGCAAACTGCACAAGCAACTTGGACATCCAGGTGTAGATCGGATGATCAAAACGCTCAAAGATGCAGGTATGGATGAGTCTCTGATCCGATGTGCCAAAGACTACAAGTGTGAAGTGTGTGAGCAACAGGCACAACGGAAATTGGAGAAACCAGCTTCACTGCCTCAGGCCAGTCACTTCAATGAATGTTTGGCATCCGCTGGAATGGAGAAAAGCGAAAGGTTTTGGCCATCCTCGACATCTACTCCAAGTACGAAATCAATGCTGTGTTGGAGAGAGAAACTGAAGAAGCTGAACTTAAGATACTTCGTGAACAATGGCTTCAAACTTTTGGTCCTCCAGAACGATTCCGAACAGACCAGTCAGGAGCTCACATGAGTCAGAAGTATCTGGACTTCTTCGACCAAAACAACATCAAGCTGATCCTCGTGCCCAAAGAAGCTCACTATAGAATGGGATCAGTGGAAAGACTCCACGCTGTGAGAAGAATGCAGCTGCTCAAGATGCAACAAGATGAACCGAATGTACTCCTTGAAGAAGCTGTTCCAGTTGCTTGTCATCAACGAAACCGTCTTCGTTCAGTGCATGGTAGCTCACCATACCAAATCGTTTTTGGACACAATCCTCAATCGAACGGTCTTTGTGATGAACCGTACTTGTCCAAACCGCTCGATGACACGGAACAGCACCAAAAAGATCAAGCACTTCGGTATTCAGCAGCAAAAGCATTTTATGAAGCCAACAACAACCAGCTGCTCAAACGTGCACTTCTTGCCAGGCCACGGTCTGAACATGTGGCCGCCAGCCTTGGCGATTGGATCTACTACTGGAGACAGGGGGAAAACAAACTTGACCCCACTCGCTGGCGTGGCCCGGCATTGGTCTGCGCCATAGAGCCCCGCAAGAACGATGACGGCCGCATCCGAGCTTCTGTTTACTGGGTTGCTCATGGCTCCAGTTTGGTGCGTGTTGCAAGTGAGCATATTCGTGCCGAGGTGGCTCGAGAACGTGTTCATCGATTGGAAACGCAACCTGACACAGCTGTTTCAAACAGTTTGGTTCATCGAGTTCGACAAGCTCTGACCCCTGTGCAGGGTCCTGTGCGTTTTCTTGATCTTGCAGGGGATCCCACCTTTTCGAATGCAAAGGCTGACACTTCTGTACCTCCTCTGGTACCACCAGAGAGTCCAGAAGTTCCTCCTCTGGTACCACCAGAGGAAGTTCCAATGTCAGAACCTCAAGCCGAAGAAGAAGTGACAACAGAACCCCAGCACACTGCGGCAGCAGCAGAACACAAGACAGCAGCAGCCAGCACGGCAGCAGCAGAAGCTGAAGCAGTTGAAGTAGAAACAAAAGAAAACCAAGACCCAAGTGGCCGAGGCAGATCGAGAAGCCCTCCACCTCATGACTCTCGGCGCAAAGACTTTGAAAACCTGTATGAGTCCTACAACAAGGCGCGTCAACTTGATGGCCTCCCGCCTGTTTCTCGAGATGATCAGCAGCTGAAAAGTCAATATGACATGCTGTATGGTGAGGAAGTTGATTGGCTGGACGAAAATTTCGTGGCCACTTCATTCAGTGAGAAGAACCTCACCAAAGAGCAGAAAGAAGAGTTCGCCGAAGCTCGCAACAAGGCTTTGGATGTCTGGTTTGAGAATCAAGCATGGCGACCAGTAGATGCCTCCGAAGCCCAACCAGGCGAAGCAGTACCAGCAAGATTTTTGCAGCGCTGGAAGCCAACAAAAGAAGGGCAGAAAGCAAACGCCCGAATCATCATACAGGGATTCAAACATCGTGATGTGCTCGAAGACACTGTAGATAAGGAAGCTCCTACTTTGTCCATGGTTGGTCGCAGCTCCATTTATCTTTTTGCAGTGGTTCGTCAGCTCAAGCTGTGGAGTGCTGATGTGAAGACTGCTTTTCAACAAGCAGACAACATCGAACAAGAAGCCCGAGTGTTCATACAGCCCTCAGCTGAGATTCGACGCCTCCTGGAAAGAAAGATTGGATTGAAACCATGGCAAATCATGCGTGCATCCAAGCCCGCTTTTGGTGATTGCAGAGCTCCAAGACAGTGGAATGCAACTGCTCATAGGTGCTTGACTGAGGAACTTGGCATGATCCCACACCCGTTGGATCGTTGTGTGTACCTCAGCATCCGAGCTGCATATGAATCTGATCCAGCTTTCGAAGTGTTCCAATGGAATGGTGTCCCTAGCATTGTTGATGGCATTTTTGGACTCCATGTGGACGACTTCATCGGTACTGGTGAAGGTTTCTGCAGTGAGCATGATTTGAAAAAGGAATGTCCCAATGAAGAGTGTTTCCTCAACCGCATCCTGCGTTTGGCTCAGCGTTTTCGTTTTGGTGCATGGGATTTTGGAAATGGCTCAAAGATCATCTTTTGTGGCGCTGAACTGCAACAGTCGTTAGACTACTCAACCATTTCGGTGAGTCTGGCTAACTATGTACAGAAGGTGAAACCTATTTCATTGGACAAATCCAGGAAAACAATGACGGAGTCTCCATGCGATGAACGTGAACACCGACAGTTCCGTGCCCTCATTGGTGCGCTGGCATGGCCTGCTCATCAAAGCATCCCTGAGTTGTGTGCAAGCGTGAGCATTTTGCAAGCATCAGCAAGCAATCCATGTGTTGGTGATTTGAACCAAGCAAACAAGCTGCTTCGTTTTGCAAAAGAAGTTTCAAAAGATCACCAACTGTACATGCGTGGTTCATGTGCTTTTTCTGAGTTGTGCATTGGAACCTATACCGATGCTGCTTGGGCCGTGAGACCCGACGGATCGAGCCAAGGTGGACTTTTGGTTTTCATTTGTTCGCACCAAGAGCTGGAATCCGGCAGCATGATGCCGCTCAATGTCTTTTATTGGAAATCGCACAAGTTGGCACGTATTTGTCGGTCAAGTTTGTCCTCAGAGGCTCAAGCAGCCGCCATTGCAGTGGATGAGCTTGAATGGTGTAAGATTTTTGTTTCTGTCATGATCGACCCCACCTTGCCGATCGAAAGTCCGGAAGCATTGCAAAAGCTTGGACCATCCCCGCTTGTGACAGATGCAAAATCTTTGTTTGATGCTGCCAAGTCCTTGTCTCCCAGCATGAAATTGAGTGAGAAAAGAACTGCGATTGAAGTGGCGATCGTGCGAGATCGCATGAACGCCTTGTTGGGAAAATGGATGTGGGTGAACTCACACCAACAGATCTCTGACGGCTTGACAAAGCCGGCTTCCAGAGATTCCATGGCCTACATCATGAAGCGTGGCACCCATCAACTCAAGTTCAACCCCGACTTCACAGCCTCCAAGAAAGTGTCCTCGGAAGCCAAGAAAGAAGAGAGGGAAATCCATGAAGCTTTTTCAAAAGAAATGGAAGAACAACAAGTTTTTGCAGTAGAAGAGTGGCAAAAGCATGAACAAGGTCTTTGTTTACTTCCAAGTTGCTGCAAACCCCGCAACGAGAGTGATCCTCGAAACAAATACTGCAGCAGAAGGCATTTTTATGCCCACCGCAGCTCAAAGAGCCATCAAGACGAATGGAAGAATGCAGCCTTGTTTTCCGCAGCCATTTTGATGGCCAGTGAAGCGCCTCTTGCTGAAGGAGCTTTGACATCTGGTGAAGCTGAAGGATGGAGTTCGCCAGTCCTCATGTCCTTCCTGGTCATCATGATCTTCGCATGGATTGGCCTTGAAAATGTGTTTCTGCGTTTTGGCATTGAAACCATCTTTTACAAGGCCTACCGCTTTGCAAATAACAAGGTGACGAACCTGTTCAGAGAGGAGATGAATGAAAATGAGCAGGTTGTTGAGAATGACCAAGCTTCTGCGAATGCCCCAGTGACTGAGAACCCGCTCCATCCTCCTAGCCATGTCGTTTCCGCAGCTGTTCAGGCCGATGAGGTGATCCTAAATGCACTGACTTTGGCCCGTCGTCCTGGAATAGATTCAGGAAGCACGACTACGAACACAGAGTCGGATCTTCCAGATGAAGAATGGCATCGCTGGAGTCGCATGAAGGTGAGAGTTCAAAACGAGGCTGGACAAGGCCCATACCGTCGCCTTCTATGGGAACTCGAAAACCATGATAGCAGCCTGGATTCCCAAACAAGGTGCGTGTTGCAGTCTGAGAGCTTCACTACGCAGCGCTGGAGGAAATTCAGTGAATTGCTTCGAGCTCAGGACACCTCACAATTTTCTGATGAGCAAGTATGTCAGTGGCACCGAATGTGGAATGACAACCTGGTGTTTTTGGCTGACGTGAATCGTCGCATCGTTCGTCAGAGAAATCAGATCATTGCCTTGGAACGCAATGACCGTGTTCGTGAGCAAATCTACAACGGTGAACTGGCTGATCGAACCTGCCAGACTCCTATGACGTTTGTTGCTGGCACTCGACCAAGACGCCTGGCTGAGAGAGAACATGGTGCCTGGTACCATGTGAGTGATTTAGATGTCCTTCGTTGAAGAGGACTCTAGCCCGCTTTTTGAATTTTCTTCGACAGCCCTTGAAAACTTCCTTGGGCGTGTCAATGTTGCGAATGCACATGTGAGATTTGTTTTCCATTTTGCAATGCATTTCATGATGAGAGCGGATAGATGACATTCGAGTCACACCGCAATCGAATTTGAATTCTCAAATCCGGCCGAAGGGCCCTTGAGTCACCAGCGGCGACGACCTTCGCCATTCGTTTGGCATTGAAGAAAGGACGCATCGCGGCCTTCGAGTTCTTTTTCTTTGGTTGCTTGGAACTTCGTGAGTTCAAGTACTTCGAGAGAACCCTCTTTTTTGTCGCGCAGATCTAGCAGAGATTCATTTGCCAATCATTCGATTTTCATGTAATTTCTTGGTGTCATTCCTGAGGCTCTGAACAGACCGAGGCAGGTTGGACTTGAGGGAAGCCTCAGTCCTTCAAGACCTGAACAACAGCGTACCCCGCTCCAGGCTGAGGACGATGACGGCTCCGTGCCGTGGTCGCGACCTCATTGGCTCGGCCCTGAGGCTCTGAAGGTGGCCCACAGCAGGTTTTGACAGCTGGTCTTGGCAGCTGGTCTTGGCCCTGTAGAATCTGCAGCAGCTTTTGAGGTCTCAGTGGTCCACCACAGATTTGATCCGCCAGCTCGGCCTGTTTGGCGTGATTCCTTTGTAACGACACCTTCATACTGACAAGTTGCACATTCAGGAAACAAGTTTGGTCAGGTTGGTGTGATCGGCGTAGAATTGACCTCAGTGGATGCTTCGACCGCGAGGTGCCAATTCACAGCGCATTTCTAGAGCTTCAACTTGATGACGTTCGGCTTCTCAACGTCCAGGCTGTATTGGACCGAGTGATCCAAATTGCCAAAGAGGCTAGTTGCCACTGTGTCACATGACACAAACATGGGTCAAGTTCCTCAACTGGTTGCAGGAGATGGCAGAAGCCGAGAATGAAAGCAGGCGACCTCTAAACTTGTGCCTAGCACCTTGCTTTTGGGTCTCTCTCTCTCTCTCCCTCCTTTTCTCCCTTTTTTTGGGTGTTTGTCTGAAGGAGGAACAGGATGGAACCAGCCATTTCTCGCCAGCTTTACTGAGTCTGAGGACCGGTGCGTCTGGCACCTTTTTTGGGACGGTGCGTGTGGCCTCCAGGGTGCCATCCTCGACCGACGCGGGCGGCCTCCGCGGGCGCCTCCGGGGGCCTCGCCGGTCCGTCCCAGGTGAAGACGGATGGCTCCTATACGAGGCCTCCGACCTTGGACCGTCGCAATTCAACCTACGGTGCACAGCTCAGAAAGGGAGACTCACCATAGTTTCAGAGCAGAAAGTGAGGAAACACGGAGAAACTCAATAAATTTCGGCACACTACTGTACTAAACTTAGATCCACTTGGTCCTTGCTGTACTAGACAACTTAGAGCCACAGAGTCAGAGGGACCATCAGTCTACACCATGATTGAATCTTTTTCTGAGGCAACCGCGTCGAACGTTTCAATGGAGTCGAGTCAGACGTCCTGCAAGATCCTGAGGCTTTCAGCAATGTGAGATCTATGGCGGTCAGTGATGACAAAAGAGTGTGAGAGAGATTTGCAGAACCTAAGGCCTTGGCTGTACAGCACCGGAGACAAGTCTAGGTTGTACGGTGTGTACTTTGGCAATGAGCCCGGAGCTTGTACACGGGGACAACTTAATGACGAAACAGAACTTATATATTTGTGGCCAGCTTCGCACCCTGGCCTTGCATACAGGTTTGCATACAGCTTGGTGTGGACAAGGCGCCCTTGGTTTGTGAGCAAAGGCAACTATTGAGAATCGCAACCCTTTTGACACAGGGAAAGACCACACAAGTGTCAAAGCACGATTATATACAGAGCGCTATATGTACTCGTCATCATGGCATTTGCTGCCTATTCACAAGAACAACGCATGCAATAACATGGAAGTAACGGCATCATGGTACCATGCTGAGTTCTCAAGATATGGAAGTTTCTCTGCTGTCCGTTTTGGCAACATCGAAGGCAAAAGTTCTGGGGCAGACCTGGTTCCAGGCGAGCACCGGAGACTTGCGAGACACTTGCGTGAGAGAAGATTCGGCCAGATACGCATATAAAGACTATAGATACACCACAGACATGGACAAATCAAATTTATATTATCAGCTCCCAGGATCTCTATCAAGCCTCCTTCCCTCGTTTTCAACGTTGTGATAGCATTTTTACCTTTGACTCATACAGGGCTTGTTTGATGTCGTCCTCTCAATCCACCAACAGTAACATTGACATTGGGGGCGCGGCGGTCGCCGATGAAGCTGAGGGTTTGAAGTCCACCTGCCATATGCTGATCGAAAAGTTGGCAATTGACTCTTGACAAACTTGGAAGGCTTTGTTTCGGTTTCTAGGTTGAATCGCTTTGACGAATGGTGAGAAGCTGAATTGCTGCGTGGCCTCACAGTGGCAGAGCGTTGGAAAATAGATATTGAGCTGCTGCATTGGTAGTTTTCATCGTTGAGGTTTGGGGCAAAAGAAACTAAGATCCAGCACAGAAGCACAATGATGGCTGACTGGTCGCAGGACATATATTGAGCAACACAAACATTCCCAAAGACAGTGATCATGAGCATGTGAGTATTGCTGGAAACCTAAACCATAGAATTGACAACGAGGAGTTTGGATTAGATGCAATCATGTATAGGATGTAGACTTCCTCATGGTCGTTCCGTACATAGCACAAAGCAGGTTGACACTATTCAGGGGCAGTGACAGATCGATGAAAAACAATCAAACCAGTAATCCACTACTGGATCGTTTCAGTTGCTTGCCATGCTGAATGTGGAGGCTGGTTGCATATGACTTGGCTGCACTTTGGCGGCTCTTTGTGTCTAAAGGAGAGAGGACACCACAGGGGCTAATAGGTTTTCTTCAGATGCTCTAGGAATTCCTGAGCCCTGAGCTTCGGCTGGCCATGTGCCACGTACGGCTACCAAGCGCACTATGATGGTTGCTTTTCGTCTTGACCCTGAAAAGATATCCTCATTGCTCATCCAAAAGTCAGCTTGCAATCGCCTTCCTTTCTAGCCCCAAGGTCAAGGAAGCCATACGGATTGTTTTGCCAGACCCTCAAAGACAAATGATGTCATCCAAGGATAACCAGGACAGTGACTGACAGGGCCTCCATTCTTCACTTCTTTCCATTTCTTGGTCGTTTGAGTCAGGCACTGCTTGGTGGTTTGTCGCACCATCGGGGGTGCAGACTCGATAGTGCGCCTGCCATGTTGATAGAGAAAGAGAGAGAGAGAGAGAGAGAGCAGTGGGGCCGCCCCGAAAACCGATTTTCCTTTTCAAGCCGCCCTTTTTGATGACTCAACATGACTCAACATCTTTCTGCGAAAAACCTATCGTTGGAGTCTTGTTTTCTTCGCTGTGGTGGTGTTGAGGATCCGAAGGCTGTCGTCTCCGAGCTCTTTGATGTGGAGTATGTCCGGATCAATGAGTCTCACCATGTGCAGGTCAGGTTGGTACGGTATGTCCTGTCAGTTTGTCTTGCGGCAGAATGGTTGTGAACGTTCAGTGGAAGGAGCTTGAGCGCACTGTAGAGAAGTTCTCTGAAATTTTGGAGAACAACCTGGACAGATCAGGCCTGGACATGACTTTTTTTCTGATCATCCATGAATCCTGCAGCTCCTGAGAGGCACCGGCCGGGCACAGCTCGTTTTCAACCTCTACACTGTTAAGACTCGGAAGCAAAGCCTTTGGCGAGGGTCTTAGCGCCTTTAGACTTGAAAAGACTTCTTAGCGTCTTTTCTTGTTCTAAAACCCACGAAGACATTGTTGGTGAAATGACTGCCACCATTGCAATCTTTTTGCCATTGAGTACCCTGTCAGGAACAGGATTGTGGGGAACGAAGAAAAGACCGTTTTCGAGCAATGGAGAATTCCCGTATCTGTGCAGCCTTTGAACAGGCCAAAGTGGATACCTTGCAAGTCATCACCCTGTGCTGCATTTTCGGTGTTGTGTTCTGGGGATGGATGGACAGGTATTTGAATCCTGCAGACAACTTGAGAGAGGAGGCAAATTTGCAGGCTCGGCCACACTTTTCAGGGATATAGACCCTTCCTTTCGAATATTGGACAGTGTTCATGTTTTCAAGGCCTCCGCTTCGCAACAAGTGCAGCAAGTCCTGCATTACATAATCGCCAGAGCCAACAGCAAGGCGGCCGGGGTTTGCAACTTGCTACGAAAGCCAGCCGATTAGCCTGAAAGTTCTGTTTCGGTTGAACGCAGTGAGTTTTAGAGCCTGGAGCAAAACAAAAACAACTTTGGTGGACAAAAAAGGTTGCGTTATGAAGGCTCTTGTGATGCGAGTGATGCCGGGACGATGCTAGCACTTTTTGCATAATAAATAATCTAGGCATGACGACATTTTTTGGAAGTGCTTTGGCAAATTCGTCGTTCCAGTATGGTAGCATATGGTAAAATATGTTGATTTATAGGCCTTAAGCCCCATTTTAGGGTCGGTGTCCTTGTCCGAGCTCTTGTGCGATGTGTTTGAAGGGCACCTCTGCAAAAGTGGTTCTAGCACCAAGGTCTCCCAGAAAAGAACTTGAGTCAGGAATGTTTTTTGTTGGTGCCCTTGTGTGCCTCATTTGAAGGCCGTCCCAGGCCAAAGAAGGCACCTGGGAATGCGCTCTAGCGATGCCCTGACAAAGCAGGACATGGCAGATGCACCTTCGAGCGTTTTGATTGAATCTTGCAAGTCGCTGCTTGACGTGCACTTTGCCATGTGGGGGCAAGCTCGTAAAGCGCGGGAGTTTTGGCTGCTGCTTGAAATGAATGGTCGATCCACCGTGGAGTGGAAAGACACAGTCGGAGCTTCTTGGTTGATGCCCTGGTGCGCTTTGTTTGAGGGCCACCTCAGGGCAAAAAGGGCGCAAATGAACAATTGGTTCTAGCACCAAGTTCCCGTTAAGGCGGAATTTTTGTTGGTGCGCTTTTGCGCCTTGCGTGACGACTGTTTTGGAGCAAAAGCGGGCACCTCCGAAAAGCGGGCTCTGGCGATAAGACGCTTGACAAAGCGGGACGTGGCAGATGCGTCTGCGACCATTCTCATTACATATATATGTAAATCTTGCGAGCCGCTGCTTGAGATGAATTGCCGATGCGTGCGTGCAAAGACCGTGTGGTTTACCGCTCTATATTTGCAAGCAGAAAGCCGAAGAACCATTTTTAAGCCTCATGTCTGGGTTGGCGCCCTGCTGAGCTTTGTTTGAGGGCCATCTTGTAGAAGTAGCCAAAGGGGAACCTCTGCAGAAGTGGGTTCTAACACCAAATTCCACCAGAAAACCTCCTTAAACAGGAGATTTTGTTGCTGCCGCTGCCCTTGTGTGTTTGGTTTGGAGGTTGTCTGGGGCAATAGGGCCATCTCCGAAAAGCTGGCTCTAGCAATAGGACATTGGACAAAGCAGGACGCGTCAGATGCACCTTCGAGCCTTTTGACTGAATCTTGCGAACGACTTGGGCATTATCAGGGGGCCTGCGCGGGAGTGTTGGAGAGTCACATTGTTTGTTGGAATTTATTGAGGGAGAGACGCCGTTTTAAGCGGTTGCGAGGGCTGGCTTTCGTCCCTTCACTTCTCAAGTTGTAGAGATTGCGTTTCAGTCGTTTGCAAGATGAGGTGGACCATCTTCCTTCACCGGAGAAAGATACAGTCTCCTACAAGTTTGAGGTTGCCTTCTTGTCTGGAGATGGGAAGGCGGGTCTACATAGGCGTTTCAATTTTCTATGCATTTTCTCGTTTGTCAAACACTCTTCATGCTCACTCATGTCAACTCCATGGTTCAATTCTGCTGCTTTGACTTCTGATTTATGGGGGCAGCATTCAACAACCCGCTGTCGCCAATGGAGGAGATTGGTGCTGGATCGTTGCTTCCGCAAGGCCAGACGGTCCCACTTCGGAGGTGCACAGCGGTGCGTGACGATCTGTGGCATGTTGATCCGAGGCCTGGGATCTTTGAGCCAGACGATCCGTCACCTACCGACATGGCCCCAGCTGTGTCGCTGCCGTGGCAGCACCAGTCAGATGCGCCGTGCTTCTTTGGTGTTGTTTTTTGGCATAGCTAAGGTACATGGCGTGAGAATGCGAAAAGCCTGAGTGGCCAAGATTTTCTAGTCTGCTAAAAGTGCGGACTTGAACTCTTTGTCAAAGAGTCTTTGAGAACTTAGCTTTTAAACTTGGTTTCAATTCATCCTGTTCCTTCCACAGGCGGTCTCAATGCGTTGCACCGCGTCAAAAGCTGGCTTTCGGTTTGATACATTGCTTGCTTGCTCCTTGCTGTCCCACCTTGTTTGTCGTGTCATTCATGGACCCCAAGTTCATGGTTAGTTCCTTTGCTTTCGCATGGCCCAAGATGAATACAGCTTTTCCATCATGGCAAGTGAGGTGGGGATGATTTCCTGAGTTTCTGACACACTTTCGATTTGGCCTTGGAGGCCACGACCTTCATCAAGAAGGTGTCCAGTGCCGGAGATGACTATTACCACATCTTAGGCGGGGGAACATTCTCCGTCAGCCTGCGTCATTTTTTGAGAAGCTTTGCAGGCATCGAAAAAGGAGCAAGCGATGATGAGATTAAGAAGGCCTCACATGGAACTGGTCAACTCCAGATCAAGTGGATTGGCTTCTTCTCCCTTCTTCGCAAGGCGTACAGAAAACTGGCCTTGCGACTGCATCCCGATAAGTGCAAAGAACCCGGAGCAGAAGAGGCCGCAAGAGTTGAGCTTCACACTGGTGCGCAACACATTTACCACAAGACCTGCTGTTCAAAGGTCTGTGAGCGTTCTGTGCAAGCAATTTTGTTTTTGGCAGCTTGGCTTTGGCTGCAGGCTTTCAAGAAAGTAGGGGAGGCTTTCTCCGTACTCAGCGATGCAGACAAGAGGCCACATCCCCAACCTTCATCCCCTGAACTTGGCAACGAACAGTTTTTCCAGATCCAAGTGGTATCCGTCAATGGCAGTGAAAAAGGGACACCAGGCTAGACTCAATTGTATCATAAACCTGTGAGCCAGGCGGAAGTACGACACGTACGGAGCCGATGCATTGCGAGGCCAGACATTCATTGGGCTACCTTCACTACGGAAGTTCTTCTTTCATACTGCCATGTGCTCCAGCACTTTCTGCAAGTTGTAGCTTTAGCATCTCAGAGTGGCAGGTGGTGGAGGTGGCGGGGCGGACTTTTCGCCCGAAGACCTCTTTGAGGCTCTCGAGTTGCTCGTGCGACATTCCGTGAAATCGCGACAACTTTCGCTTCACTTCTGTCCCCGAGGCCTTCTTTGGCGGCGGATTGCATCCGGGCATGGGTGGTGGCCGGACCTTTATGAGGAGCCTCATCGCTAGCAAGAGAGCCTTTCAGGCCCTAGGTCATTTGGGTCGTGGACTTATCTACCCTTGCTAAGAGTATCAAAAATAGTTTGGAAAGGCTCCTCATTAATTGAACATTCAAACAGAAACACACTGTGCTTCATGAGCGCCTTGAGAAAAACACATAGAGGCTTGCCCCTTCCTGTTTCAGCCTCTCCCGGTTTCCACAGGACTGGTCCCGGGACTTTTGTGTTCACCTCCTCAGGCAGGTGATTTGCTGTTGCCGAAAGAATTTTGCATCGCAGGTCTTGAGCCATGATTGCCTCCTGGCATCGCTACTAGGAGCAAGGACGCTACTAGGGGCTCCTGGCCTTACTACTAGGAGCAAGAAGCTACTAGGAGCAAAGGGCATCGCTTCTAGTAACAAGTGCCTTACTAGTAGTAACAAGAAGCTACTAGGAACAAGTGCATCGCTACTAGGAACAAGTGCCTTACTAGTAGTAACAAGTGCATCGCTACTAGGAACAAGGACGCTCTCGACAAAACGGTCGGTCCAAAACACTGGCAGGTCCTGGCGGCTTCAATTTTTCGACGGGGCCAGGCAGTGACACGGACGAAGGGGCAACAAGGGGGAAGTTCTTTCAAGGTTCATTCCGATTCCAGGTTGATTCAGATTTCCTTCGCTTTTCGGGTTGTGGAAAATTTTATGACTTCATCATGCCATTTCCACGCCAGAGCAACCAAACCTGGAAAGGCATGCGAAGGAGGGGTGCTCCTCCACAAGCACGGCAACGGCAGGAGGACGGACGCACCCCCTCGACACGTTCCGCTGCTCGCGGATCAGTGGAATGAGATGCAGAGGACGCAGATGAGGAGGAAAGCATGCCGCCCTGGATGGCGCCACTGCAGGCGATAGTCGCCACCCTAGAAGGTTTGCTGATTTACCGCTCTAACGCTTTTGAGGGGGCTGGTTCTGTGGTTTTTGAGGTGTTAGAAGCTGGAGTGACGGTCACATTTATGCGATCTAAATAATATGACACATCTTCTCTTTGATACCTCTACATAAAATAGGTTCCTGCCTCCGTTTAGTCTAGTCGGTGGATATCCTGTCTATCAGTTTTGAAGACGTGCACCGTCTCTGAGGCCTCCTCTCTGGGGCCCATGCTTCCAATTGTGATTGTTTGTGTTCCTCACTCAGCTGAACTCAGCTTTTCGCTTCGGGAAAGACAGAAATAGTCTAGTTTGAAAGAGATGTCCTCCAACCTACTAGCCATGGCCTCCATCCACTAGCGATGGCCTCCACCCTAGTAGCGATGGCCTCCAACCTAATTTGAGACGAGAGACGTGGTTCTTCGTCAGCGAGTGCTGCTTTTCGCCTGTTGACGTCGGAGATGCCGACATCGCTACAGGGCTTCTTCGTTTTCATGTCCGTAGTATCCGTGCTAATGCCCTTTGGCTGCACTTTGCGCCATTTCAACGCAAAGGACTCCTCAAGAGATCTGCCAAAGTCGGACTTGGCACGAGTTGAGATTTTTTGAACGAACTCAGCTAGGCAAATTCTAGTGACAAAGATGGTCTACATCCTCCCGAGTCTTGGCTTTGAAGGGGAAGCATTCCCTGTGCTGCAATGGTCAATGGTTTGGACAAAAATGACATGGCAAGTAGCATTGTGGAATCACTGTGAGTCAATATATATATATATATATGTATAGATGCATACTGTATGAGTTCTTAAGAAGATGCACAATCTCTCATGTTCCTTGGTGAAAGGGTCGTGTACCTCACAGAGGGGAAGACGAAGATGTGCACCTTGCTGGTTTTCCGTGGGCAGAAAGGGGCCATATGGCAACTCAGTGGGTTTCGTTTGTAAGTCTTTTTCTTCACTGAAGTCATGCATGCCTCATGCCAGATTCTTGATCCTCAGCATCGTGCTCGCCACAATGTTGGGGATGATTTGAGTGCCTTCGTGCTGTTTCCCCGGTCAAGCCTTCTGGCGGCTTCGTCACCAGACTTCAGCTGGATCGGTGGATTGTCACCCCAGTCGCTTTGCTGGGATCACATCGCACTGGAAGATGCCAGAAGATACTTACTAGTCTAGTACTAGTAGCTAGAATGCTACTAGTAGTAAGGCCAGGAGCTACTAGTAGCGTCCTTGCTCCTAGTAGCGATGCCCTTTGTTACTAGTAGCAAGAGTGCTACCACTTGAATGAGTTGTTGCAGAAACAGTTTTGCACACAGTGATTCACTCACCATCACTTGTTTGATTCGGCTCTTCCAGTGTGACTAGCTCGCACTCACCGCAGAAACTGCGGTCTAGTTGAGGGTGCGAGGATTCAACGAAACCAGAGGAGCTCAGACCGAACCGTGGTGCTTCTCTCTGCGCACAGATCAGGGGAAAAGTCGGGAGGCTGTGCGTTTCAATCAATACCTTGCGCTAGCCATGCTTTGCCATGTTTTTTCGCTTGATCGGGGCTCGGCCATGTTGCTCAAACGGACCAGGACGATGCCTTGATTGACGTGGCTAGGAAGATTCCAGTTCTGCTCCTGAGGTCTTTCGTCTCAAGGAGCATGTCGAAAAACAGCTTCATACACCATGGCTGATAAAGAAGAAGAGCTGCTGACAAAGCTTCTTGCATGAATTGGGTGGTTGGGTCAGAACTCGCTTGGTGCTCTGAGGGCTTTACAACATCCTGATTCAGTGTTCAGTGTTTAGTTACTTGGTGCGTGTGTGTGTGTGTGTGTACCCCTTGGAATCAGAGGGATCCGTCAGGATTAGCTTTCACTTTTGCTTTACGGCAGGGGGCCACTCCACCCACCACCAGGGAGTGGCCAACGAAGAGCCTGGTGGTGTGGTGCTGAAACGTACCTGCCCAATTTTTAATGGACTTGTGATTGCTGGAACTTTTGCATAAGCTGTGACTCCAATTTTCCTTTTTGGTTACTTGGTTTCGACCGTGAACGTCGGCAGCTTGCTTTCCTTGTCGTTGCATTGCACTTTGACATGTTTTGACACCGCACTGCAACTTGTTTTTTTCATGGCTAGATGCCGCTTTACTTCCTGACCTCTTAGGTTTCCTGGACCACTTAGGTTTCCATATGGCTACTGGGCATCTTACCGAACGCAATTGATAAGTATGTAGCTGTGCGATGGACCTCTACTTCCTTTCTAGGCCTCCTTACCTGTATCCTTAGGAAATGGAACCCTAGGCCGGCGTGTGGCACCGCATTCAGTTCCGTACACAAAATCTCAAGTGTGT